AGCAGAACAGCATTTATCTGAAATAGAAATCTTTTGTAACATTATGAATGTCTTTATCATCACTTTTGATCAATTCAAAGCATCGTTGCTAAATAAAAGTATTAATTTCTATAATGATGCTGAAAATTCTGCTTTGATCACAGAAATAAATTACAGTTTAAATTTCAAAGAGAAAACTGTGAAATTCTACTAATATTTGACAAATTTTACCGTTTTTACTGAGTTTTTGATCAAATAAATACAGCATTGGTGAGCATAAAAGACTTCTTTTAAAAACATTAAATAATCGTAATAATTATTTTTTTTTTAATGCTCAGTTTAACAGATATTCACATAGAAAGCAGTTATTTTAAATAGTAAAAAGATTTCACAATATTACTGCTTTTACTGTATTTCTGCTCAAATAAATGCAGGCTTGGTGAGCAGAAGAGACTTCTTTAAAAACATTAAAAATCTTACTTTTCAGAAACTGTTGACTGCTAGTGTAAGTTATGGATAGGTGTATTCATATTTTATATTTCTATATTAAAATAAATGTTTTATATATAAATATTAGTATTTATATATAACTGTAATTCAATATAAATGTATTTGCTTCTCAAGAAATCAGTTTTTGGCCCTAGTTTTGTAGGGAGTTATATTCATGATCATAAAGTTTTTGTTTTCATTCATTCGATTGCGCTCTCTGTTAAACCGGCTGTTTTTGATACTGTATCTTTATGAGATATGTAAATGAGCTCTGTTGTGATTGGCAGATCTTTATCAGTCAGAGGTCACATGTCATTTTTGCAGTTTAGTTTCAATCACATTAAATATGGGACTAATTATAGTCTGAATCAATTACATGATGATTATAGTTGGTTTGAGTCCGAGTCGCTCGCAGGGGAATTACAGCAAATGTACAAAAACCATCAAAATAGTAGAGCAAAGTATCTTATTTATTTTTTCACATTTATTTATTAATCCTAAACTCTAGCGAGTGACTGATTTCTGTCTGGTCTGTGAAGTTGCAGAGAAACCCAAAGCTGCTGTACAGATTTTATAAACCGTCTGCTTTATATCAGCTATTATTTATTTGAGCTTTGTCACGAGTCAATATGATCCAATAGATGTTCAGCTGTAACATACACACTTGTTTTTGGAATAAAAGTGAATTGTGTGAATGTTTAAGCCTAATTATTGTGTTCAAGTCATTTTGACCTGGATTTTCTTTTTCCTGAAAATGCTAGTTAATATTTTCACATTGGACCGAAACTTACTGACTTTGCACTCAAAAAATCTGATAATATTTGAAGAGTTCATTTGCAAAAACAGGCAACTCCGTTTTTAAAAATGTTCAAAAATCATGTTTTTTTTATCCTGCATTCCAATTATTATCATGATTAAATAATAAAAAATACAGCGAACACAAAAACATAACAAAAAAACATGATTTATGAAAATAAAAACAGAATTAGTTTTTTTTTTTTGCAAATAAACTCTTCATTTTGTAATTTTATAAGCCTACAAATATTTCTTATAAATTTCTCGTTATACTTTACTGTTGGCAAATACTGGCTTCTATCTTTTCATTACATTTTCTTTAAATTAGCACATATTTTGCATTTCATATTAAAATTCTATATAATTTAAAAAAATATATTTACAATATTTAAAAGTATTAATCAGAGCTTATGAACATTGACAAAATTATCCACAAATGTTTTGTTCACTCAAAAACTGAGGCACATGAACTCTAAACATTTTTGTTGATTGAAAAAAAGCTGAAATAAAAATGTCTGATTAGGTGAATTTTTTTTAATGAAAATTAGAAATATTGCCCTGGCAATTAACTGAAATTTGAACAAACCAAATAACACATTAAACCTAACTAGTAACAAAAACTAAAATTAAAAAAAAAATGAAAATATAAAAAGTGATTTCAAAATATATACTATTACTATAACAGTAATAAGAATTTTAATATAACTACATTCAAATTTGCATGTTTAAAAAAAGCAAGACCACATGTGATACAGGAAAATATTTTATTTCCTTCAGTTGTGGACTGTACAGTATTCAATCACGTGATTTCACAGGAATCGTTAATAATATGATTGATGACTGGACCCTTCAGATGACGCTCATCAGCCTTTGGCATCGAATCCGCTTGGTTTAACGACAGAATCTGTAAAGCTTTAAAATGCAGTGAAATCAGAGATCAGAGCAGGATCTTGTAATAATCGTCTCTGTAGCTGTAAAGGACCACCACAGCCACCCTGAAAACACACAGAACAGCTCAAACTCAGATTCCACAGCATGCTGAAAAAATCAAGACATGATATCTGATATTCTTCAGTTCTAGACTTTCAGCATGACGTCATGAGATTTCAGAAATTAAAACAAGAACCAGTAAGTTTATTTTTCTTGCCCTTTTGGCAAATATTTGTTTCAGATCTGTTACTCCTGAGCTTAAAAAGACTGACATTAGTCCTTCAGAATAAAATATTTAAACGCTACTTTCTATGGAAGATTGATTCCGCAGAAATAAACCACAAACTTGCAATTTTGAGAAAAAAAAATGTCAAAAATATATAGATGTTGTATAAACTCACAATTCTGAGAAGCAAAGTCCAAGTTGTGAGATATAAACTCGTATTGTAAACTCACAATTGTAAATAAAAAGCCTGAATTGCGAGATGTATACTCTGTAAACTCACAATTGTAAATAAAAAGTCTGAATTGCGAGATGTAAACTCTGTAAACTCAAAATTGTAAAAAAAAAAAGCCTGAATTGCGAGATGTAAACTCGTATTGTAAATTCGCAATTGTAAAAAAAAAAGCCTGAATTGCGAGATGTAAACTCGTATTGTAAACTCACAATTGTAAAAAAAAAAAAAGTCTGAATTGCGAAATGTAAACTCAGATTGTATATTTGCAATTGTAAAAAAATAAAAAAGTCTGAATTGCGAGATGTAAACTCAGATTGTAAACTCACAATTGTAAAAAAAATATTAAAAAAAAAATCTGAATAGTGAGATCAAAAGTTGCAATTACCTTTGTTTTTTTTTGTTTTGTTTTTAATTCCATGGTGGAAACAAGCTTCCAGAATTTTCTTATTAATATCTTGTATTCTTAAAAAAATAGTATCTCTCTTCTTCTTAAGAATGTGTAAAGACAAAACTCAAGAAAAATTCAAACTCTTGAAAAGAATGTTCTTAAAAAACGTATTAAAATTATTATTGTCTTAAATTCCCAAAGATGAGATTTTTACTTCATTGGATTGTTTCAAATATTAAGCATTACAACATAAAACTGGCTCCATATACAGTGGGTACGGAAAGTATTCAGACCCCCTTCAATTTTTCACTCTTTGTTATATTGCAGCCATTTGCTAAAATCATTTAAGTTATCTTTTTTAATACATATGACTACTAAATTAAGTAAATTAAATTAAACTAGTAAATTAAACTTTCATCATCATATTAACATTTCATAAAGAGATTTTAGAGGGGATTTTGGATTTCTCTTTTTATCACTCAATTCAGAAAATATTGTCAACAGACAGAAAACAAACCCATTTTCACCATGTTTATAGGTGTAAAATGTTTAAATCGGTGTGAACGAAATATGAACAAACATTCAGAATATAGAGCCATTTTGGAGAGTATCACAATGCATACACACGCTTTCCCCTAAGCATAAAAAATGCTGATTACGTTCATGTTTCGCTGTAAGAACATTACAGTTATTGATGCTGGAAAAGCAGCTCAGTACCTTTTGGAGATCTTGAAGTGGTAGATCTGCTCACAGATGCATTTGAGGTAGCGCTGTTTGGGCAGCCGAGAGAGAAGCGTCTTCACACTGATGTTGAACTGCTCCTCACCATCAAACTGAGACAAACAACAGCAGCCTCAGCGTTAAACACTCCAGTTAGCACACAATGGATGAGGAATCATATCTGAGACACTCATTCAGGGGTAGAAATCAAGAAATATACAATATGCATATGTTGAGACTTAAAACTGACCTAGTATTACTACTGTAATTATGAATGTTTCATGTTTTAGATTAGAAAGTCTCTTCTGCTCACCAGAGCTGCATTTATTTGGTCAAAAATACAGTAAAAACAGTGAAATATTATTGCAATGTAAAACAGCTGTTTTCTATGTGAATATCTGTTAAACTGTAATTTATTTCTGTGATGCGCAGCTGTATTTTCAGCATCATTACTCCAGTCTTCAGCGTCACATGATCTTCAGAAATCATTCTAATATGCTGATTTGCTGCTCAAGAAACATTTCTGATTATTATCAATGTTGAAAACAGTTGTGCTGCACAATATTTTTGTGGAAACTGTGATACGTTTTATTTTTCAGGATTCAGAGATGAATAGAAAGTTCAAAAGAACAGCTTTTATTTGAAATAGAAATCTCTTGCAACATTATAAATGTCTTTACTGGCACTTTTGAGCAATCCTTACCAAATGAAAGTTAATTAATTTTTTTAAATCTTACTTACCCCAAACTTTTGAATGGTACATGAATGGTAAAACTGTTTTCAACATTGATAATAATCAGAAATGTTTCTCGAGCAGCAAATCAGCATATTAGAATGATTTCTGAAGATCATGTGACACTGAAGACTGGAGTAATGATGCTGAAAATACAGCT